GGAGGGTCGATGAAAGAGGGGGAGGCCTTCAAGGAGATGGATTGATACGGTGGCTGCGATGATGGGCTCAAGTATAGCAGGGATTGTGGGGCTGGCGTGGGATCGGGCAGTGTTTCGTTCTGCTGTGCATGGGGTCGCCATGAGTCGGAAACGACTCGATAGCACTTAACAACAACAACAGCAACCACCTCCAACACACACACACACACACTCACACATGTAAACAAAAATTTGGGTGTCTTGGGAGGTCAAACATCTATATTAGACCATCTAATAATGGAAATTAAATGATATTATTTTTAGAATGTATGCTTCACACTTAGGATGATGAACTGACAATCCTTGGTTATTACTGTAATATTTTTATTTGAACAGAGTTAATTTTCCTAATCAAACTCGGAGACTGAGTTTCTGCTCAGGGATTGGTACATAGTACAAGGGCATAGAGAAGCAGTTTCAGCTCCCAGAAGCTCTCAAGAAGTTCTATGTAGATGAGATTAACTATGCATGAGAATCATGCCCCTATGTTTTGAAAATCTTTGCCTGGTACTGCCTTAGTTTCCTTAATTCTGTACGGCCAGTAAAAGGAAGTCCCTCTTTTAAGGAAAAAAGAACTTATAAAACTCTTATGTCTTCAAATAAATTGTTTCTAGTTAACAAGAAATCTTCTTGGTGGAAGACCAGAAAAACCAATCCATAGCTGAATGAAGTGTTCAAATATTTGTTGTTGTTTTTGTTAGTTTAACAATTGATACTTAATATTTCTTAAATTAAAATAGTTTATTTTGCTATTCATATTTTTAGGGAGCTCTGGTAGCATAGTGCCTAAGGAACTTGACTGCTAACCAGAAGGCTGGTGGTTCAAACCCACCAGCCACGCTTTGGAAGGAAGGTTGGGCAATCTACTTCCCTAGTGATACCGTCTTGGAAACCCAAGGAGGGATCGCTGTGAGTCGGGCTGACTCCATGACACACAATAACAACAACAATTCATATTTTTAATGCCTATGATGCAATCTTGCTGAAGATTAACGTCAGCAATGATTAACTCTCTTTCTTTTGCCCTCATCTTCCCTCTACATAAATATGATAGTTATTTAGGCTGTTCTTCTCCTCACACATTCCTTTGGGGACCAGGCTTATAACCACTACCCATTTGTAGTTGATAATTGCAGTTTGAGAAAGGAGATACCTGAGCCTGGAGCAACCAAGATAAAGGAGAAGTAGAGACATCCCTGGCTGACCTGAGAGGCCTGAGGTTGTTCACACCCATGCACCCCCCCTCCCACACACACTTTTAGAGTAACCTTCCTAGGCAGGTGCAAGGAACTTGAGGGACACTTTCTCCTGACCAAGGACAGCTTTATCACTGACCAGAAGAATAACAGAGGTCACAAGACAACAACTGGTCCAGATAACAAGAAACCATTATAAGCATTTCTCAAATCCTTTTACCCCTTAGCCCAATTCCCTTTAACAACCCTAACAATTTCCCAGCCTGGGGAGACAGACTTTTTAGAGAAGTGATTCTATCTCCTTGGATATCAATACTCAATAAATTCTTTTGCTTTCCTGTTTCAATCCATCATGATCATTGGCTCTGCACAAGGGGGTAAGGACTTTGTTGTTCTTACAACAATGTCAATGCTATGTTTTATTTTAACGGTTTTAAGTAGAGGATTCTTTATAATAATCAATTTGTGGCTAAAAATAAGTTATGATGAAAAGATCCAAGCATAGCTTACTTTATGATTTTCAAACTCCATTTTGTCCCAATTCCCCCTTACGTTAAATAAAAATAAACTTTGTGTTTTCTTACCTCTCAGGGAATTGAGAAATAGTAATGAGATATTAAGCACAAGTCTTTAAAGTTAATGAATTAAGTTAATATTAGTGATTTGGTGATTTAGGTTGTGTTCATATCACCAATCCAAGAGAAAAGTTTATTTTTAAAAATCACTTTATTTTTTCTCCATGATTACTTATGTGAAGAGTTTATTTCCTATCTAATTCTGATTGGTATATGGCATTCCACTAGAGAGCATGAACTCATCAGTCTGAGATATAACATGCTAATATTAATTTTCACTTCTGGGGTAAGAAAAATATTCTCACCTGTGGGACTTGCTATGGTGGTTGTTGATAGGGAAATAGGAGCTCTGGTAGCATAGTGCCTAAAGCACTTGACTGCTATCCAGGAGGCTGGTGGTTCAAACCCACCAGCCACTCCTTGGAAGGAAGATGGGGCAATCTACTTCCGTAGCGATACTGCCTTGGAAACCCAAGGAGGGGTCGCTATGAGTCGGGTCCAACTCGACGGCACATAACAACAACAACAACAAATAGTGGGAATGCCTAGAGAGAAAGAAAGAAGCAAGGTGATATGGAAGTGTGAAGAATAAATGAAATATGAAATGAACCAACTCAACACAATTATTTGAAAAGTGGGAGTCTGCATATCCTTTTCCATTAAACTGATCAGATCCGACCTTGGGTTTCCCAGGCGGTATCACTACAGAAGTAGATTGCCCAATCTTCCTTCTAAGGAGTTGCTGGTGGGTCTGAAACACCAGCCTTCCGGTTAGCAGTCAAATGCCATAGGCGACACACCACCAGAGCTCCCATATTTTTCATACAGATAAAGACGTACTGCCATCAAGTTGGATCCAATTCATAGCAACCCCTCCTTGGGTTTCCCAGGCGGTATCACTACGGAAGTAGATTGCCCAAACTTCCTTCAGAGGAGTAGCTGGTGGGTTTAAACCGCCAGCCTTCTGGTTAGCAGTCGAATGCCTTAGGCACTACGCCACCAGAGCTACTATACAGATAAAATAATACTAATAATAATGATAACATTGGACACTCAGGTTCCAGTACTGTATTCATCATTTTCTATTGGTAAACTCATTTAATCTTGGCATAACCATAAAGCCAAAAAACCCAAAAACCAAAAACAAAATGCAAAAAACCCAAACCCACTACCGTAGAGTTGGTTCTGACTCATAGCAACATTTTAGGACAGAGTAAAACTGTCTCGTAGGGTGTCCAAAGCTGTAAATTGTTACAGGTGCAGATTGCCTCATCTTTGTCCAGTGTAGCAGCTGGTGAGGTTGAAACACAGACCTTTTAGTTAGCAGCCAAATGCTATAACCACTATGCCGCCAGAGCTCCTGCAGAACCCAAAAGGTGTGTACTATTATTATTTCCATTTTACTTACAACTGTGAAGTTCAGAGAAGTTAAGTCACTTGGCCAAAAATTTCATAGCTGGTAAATAAGCCAGGATTCAAATTCAGGAGTGTCTTTTTATTTAATTTTCCATTTTCTACATGTATAATAAGGAGCTCTAGTGGTATAGTGGTTAAGATATTTGGCTGCTAATCAAAAACTTGGTGGTTCAAACCTACCAGCTGCTCTGTGGATGGGGCAGTCTGCCTCCATAAAGATTTACAGCCTTGGCAACCCAATGTGGGTTGCTCTGAGTCAGAGTTGACTCATGGCAGTAAGTTTGGTTTTTTGTTTTGACATGTATAAGTGTTTGATAATAAATGTTAACTGACTGAAAGCCCCACACTGGATGAGATCTTAAGAAACTATTTGCACTTCCCTTTATTTTAAGTCACTTATACCATCCTGAAGTATCTTCTAGGGTAACTTTCAGGACATTATCAGATCATCAAAGCATAGATCTAGAAGGGACTTAGAGACCACTTAATTTACTACTTGTGGTGGTTAAGTTTGTGTGTCAACTTGGCTGGGCCTGTTTGAGTGGCTGGGCAGCTGGATGTAGTATTCCCCATGATGAGACCTGTAATCAACTCCGTGGCGAAATCTACTGTGAGCACCTGAGTAGCTGGCTTAGGGATGTGGTCTGCTTCCTGCATATAAGGAGAAGCTTCGGGGAATGATCTCTAGCTATGGCACGTTTGAACCCTGTGTGCAGCTGAGTCATTGTTCAGCACCCTGCCATGCTCTGCCTACCTTGGGACTTTCAATGGATTTGAATTAATGGCTGCTGTGTGGTTTGGTAGCATCAGGACTATGCCATTTTATTTGTTGACCTTGGGCTTGTTAGCCTCAGCAGCCAATAGCTGCCTGAGTGAAGAGATGCCTCTAGCTTCAGTGGGCCAGGAGCAAAAGGCAGAGCTAAAGCTCAGGGTCAAGGGGCTTTCACACAGTCCCTAGAGCCTGGCACTTTGAACTTGGACTTCTAGCCTCCCAAACTGTAAGAGAATAAACTCCTGTTTGTTCAGGCCATCCCATTTGTAGTATTTCTGTTAGCGTGGCACTAGGTAACCAGAACACTACTCATGAGGAAACTGGATCTAGAAAGATGAAGTGACTTGCTCAAAGTCAAACAACCAATATGAGCTGGAAATAGCTCTTATGTTTTGTTCTCCAATTCTCAGATTAGTGCTAATGTCACTGTATTATGTTACCTCTATATTTTAAAAGGAACACAGTTCTACTCTGACATTCATGGGGTCACCATGAGTCATAGTTGACTTGACAGTAATTGGTACTGATCTTTAAGAGAACAGTATTTGGATAATTTTGAGCCAGACAGAAGATGAAATTGACTTACCAGGCACTTTTGGATAAGTAGTTACAACATTATCTTGAAAGAAAGTGTCAAAAAGTATGGATGGTATTTTGTGCATAAAATACCAAAACCAAACCTGTTTCCACTGAGTTGATTCCAACTCATGGCAAGCACATGTATTACAAGTAGAACTGCTCCATAGGATTTTCTTGGCTAGAATCATTATGGAAGCAGTTCATTAGGCCTTTGTTCCATGAAGCCACTGGGTGGATTTGAACCCCTAACCTTTAGGTTACCAGCCAATTGCAAACCACTTGTGCCCCCCAGGTTCCTGCATAACCTTAACATCATAATCAACACCATGGAGTTGATTCTTCATAGTACCCTTAAGGACAGAATAGAACTGCCCTATAGCATTTCCAAGGCTGTAATGCTCATGGAGGATCTCTGGGGGTTCAGTGGTTAAGTGCTCAGCTGCTAAGGAAACAGCCTAGGAAACCCTCTGGGGGCAGTCCTACCCTGTCCTACAGAGTGATTATGACTCAGAATCCGATCAATGACAATAAGTTTAATCTTTAAGGAAACTGGAGCATCTGGTGGGTTTGAACCACTCACTTTTTTTTTTTTAGTAGCGTAGTGCTTAACCACTGTGCCACCAGGGCTCTTTGGTTCCTACATAGAAGCACTCATATTGAGAAGCATTGGGTATGTATGTATGTATGTAAGGATGGCATGGCCATTCAAAATCCTGTAAGGTGCTATTTATTACTCTGACTTGGAACTTTGCAGGGCAAGCCTCACCTGAGGTGGCTGGGGTTCCTTCTTGGGCTGAGGAGGTTGCTTTAAGGGCCGCTTTGGTGGTGGCTTTTTAGGTTGCGGCTGGTTGGGTTTCTGAGTCCCTTGAGCTTCAGTCTTGCTCTGGAGTTTGGGTCCTGAGGGAAATGATGGTTTCTGTGGGTGCCACGTATTGGGTGGTGGCTGAGGCCACATGGGCATCTGGTACCGTGGGAAGTGCTGAGGGAGTTGCAGGCCATTTCCATACGTGGGGCCCAGCTGTGACATCTGAATGGGAAGCAGATAATAGTGAAACCTCACCCAGGGCTGAGATCCAGGCTCTCTCCACAATGTCAGCCTCTAAAATATAGCCAAGGTACCCAAGAATCCTATGTAATTTGACTCAACAATAGAAGATAAAAAATATTTAGCTAGAATTTCATTTACAGAAATGAATTTTGGATGTATAGAATTAACCAAACTAACCAAAAAACCAGAATTAAGTGAGAAATTTCACTTTAGGAATTTGACTGATGATTTTCTGAATCTGAAGCCCTGCTAAGAGGTGTACAGGTCAGGTTATAAAAGGATTTGACATGAAATTCAAAACCATATGTTTTGTCATAAGAATGGACAAGGAGGAGAAAAAGCAAAAACAAACAACAACAAAACCATAAAGGAAATGAGACTGCAGAAGGAGAGAGAGAGAGAGAGAGAGAGAGAGAGAGAGAATAAAATTTTCTGTGTAAATCCTATCCTTTTTGGGTACAGGTGGATCCTTATTAATTCAATCTTTATTATTAATACAAGATTGAGCAGGGAAGTAAAAGTAGTTACAATCTGAAAATGCTAATTTATGAGTTGACCTCTAATAAAATAGTTCCATTCAAACATTCCCTCCCGACCTAACACTAGTCTTTAATCAGTCTCTCACTATCTTTTGGATGATGTCCATGAAATACTGAGCAAATGTAATGTGGATAGATGTTAGTTAAAATAGTAAATCTTGCATTGAGATGCAGGAATTTATGATAATTAAGTTTGTGAAAAGTCTCAAAATACAAGCAAGATGACTAAAATTGAGAATGAATGTTGGAAATAAAGAGTTGGATCAATCAATTGTCAAAGAGAAAATTTGACAATGAAGATGATTTTAGGTGAGGGGCTTTAAAAGAGAATGTTGTTGTTGTTGTTGTTATGTGACAAAATGACTTGAATACAAAAGATTAAGAGAAAATTGATATTTTCCTCTTAACCCCCAAAGTCAAAAGTGACATGTATTGTGATGCTATCATTTAATTTTGTTAAAAAATGATGCCAAAAGTTTTCAACTGATATTGATTCAACATTAGCTTGTTATAGAAATTAGCACATAATGGCAATTATAATTAAATTTATTCAAATAAGACAAAAAAAATCTTATTTCATAATTTTAGTTTTATCTTTCAAGATATTCCAAATACATTACACCCTAGTATTTGCTATACTATTTTTGTTCTCATTATTTGTGAATAAGCTTGGATGATCTTTTTCTAGAACCAATTTTCCTTAGATACAAAGAACACTTGTAATTTGTAAATTATTTTATTTATGTGAAAGAACAATAAAATGAATATGGAGAAAATTTGGTCTGTGGGGGCATTAAGATGATTCTCCCACGCCCTGGAAGTCTTATAAGGATTGCAGGCAGTCCCTGGTTATGATTGTCTGATTTAGGTGGAAACTTAGTTATGAACCAATCCTATAAAGCCTATTATATTAATAATTCAATGTAAATACAATGGTTCAAAATAACTAATGAGCACTACTTGGCAGCACACATCAAACATTATTATTATAACTATATTGTTATGATAAAGATGTTTTAGTGTATCTGGAAGTGTTTCCTTAATGTTTTTTATGTATAGAAAGATACACTACATAACATACATAGACAGACATCTGACTAACTGACATTACATATGAACTGTACCTAACTATTCTGACTTATATACAAATTCTATTGAAAATCAGAATTAGGAATAGAACTCATTCGCAATCTGGGGACTTTAATTACTGTTGCAATTAAAACACGTAGCCAGGCTTTGGTGTAGGTAAAATGAACCTTTGTAATGTGACTATCTGGACATAAACTAGAGATAATTAGAAATAGTATAAAGAGGAACTTACATGTGGGGAGTTCATAAAGTTGAATTGACCATACCACATCATCTGTGACCAAAGAAATCCATTAATGCGATATAAATTAAAACTTTTTTATTTAATCAACCCACAAATCATAAAAAAATATATAGAATTTCTAATTTCAAAGTACAACATTCATAGTAATTTTTCACCAGTTATGCATGAATATAAAATAAATATGCTGTTAAAAAAGACAAACTCCCACTGTGCTTTAATTTTTAAACTACAATTTTATTACAATAATTGAGAAAAAAAATCTGGTCTGCTTTGAAGTTTTTGAATATTGTAACTTATTCTTTTGGAATTCAGGATTTGAGAATGTGATGATTATATAAAAAGATGATTCTTTTTTTTCTAGTGTGTATTCAATTTGGCTAAGGCGCTCTGGTGGCGTAGTGGATAAGGCATTTGGCTGCTAATCAGAAGGTCAGCAGTTCAAACTCAGCAGCTGCTCCGTGGAAGGAAGATGGAGCGATCTACCTCTGTACAGATTTACAGCCTCGGAAACCCAATGGGGATCTCTATGAGTCAGATTCAACTTAATGGCAGTGAGTTTTTTTTTTTTTTTAATTGAATTTGCCTAATGATCCCGGGTGTGGGTCATATAAAAAACACATGCATGCACATCTACCGTCTAACAATTGTGTACGAATGGCTACCTTTCCTAGCTAGCAAACTTAGTAAGAAGCCAGCACCAACTAGATTTTAACACAAATCCACATTTACCTTAAACAGGCTTTATGAAGCACAAAGGTAGGATGGCATTGGAGGAAATTGCTACTTTGCCTTGATTTGAGATTTTTTTTTTTAAATTTATTTTTGCAGTGTTCTCTCCCCTTGATTTGAGATTTTGAATCTTTCATCTTTCCATCCCTCTTCCTTTTTCATAAGAAAATTAAAAAATCAGAATGTTTTCCATTCTTCTTCTTTATGAACCTGCAGATTAGGGCTCTGGAATACTTCCTTACTGAATTCTCCTTGTACTCAGAAGATACACTTTAAGAAGAGAATGAACATATATACCTCTTCACTTTTACTGCTAAAGTCAGCCATTTGGGGCATTTGCATCTGGAAGTGAAAGAGTTTCAGTAACAAATGCAGATATCAATGAAATAAACTAATTTACAGTCCCCAAGTTATGCAGTGGTAGACCACGAAGAAAAGGCCTAACTTTTTTTTTTTTAATACTCACTGGCATAGCAACAGAGTTACCAAGCAGACCTAGAAAGACCAGGAGAATCTTCATTTTTCCATTTGATACCTGGAATACAAAGCTGAGTTTTATTTTTGAACTGGCCATTAGTTATGCTCAGAGCACCCTGTGCTTCCTTTGACACTAGCTTACTTGTCTGTCAAGGAGAATATAGAAATAGAGAGTGATGGGAGCCTCTGCTGTCATTTTTATTCTAAGAAATTATTTGGTAGTTATTTAGTTATCACCTGATACTATTCCAAGTTGCCAAAAGAGTTAGATTAAAGAGGAAAGATAAGGGAGTTTTTAAGAGAAAGAAAGATACAGAGGAAGAGAGAGAGATATCTCAATGAAGCTTGTGAAGATAGCACTGGAATGAGGAAATTAGAAATTAGGTTACCCAAAATATAGGAGTATTGATGATTTTGAGTTTGTAGTTGCCAGTTTGATTTAGAAAAGCATAGTGATATTCAACTATATAACATATAGAATAATCTCAGCCTAAAGCACTTGACTACTAACCAGAAAGCTGGCGGTTCAAACCCACCAGACACCCCTCAGAAGGAAGGCTGGGTAATCTACTTCCATAGTGATACTGCCTAGGAAACCCACGGAGGGGTCGCTATGAGTTGGGGCCTACTGGACGGCACATAACAACAGCAACAACAACAACTCCAAAATCAGAACTTTGCACTAATATCTAAGATCCATAGAAAACATTTCATTATATAAAGGCTAATTAAATAAACAGAAATATTCCAGAATCCTATGGCATAGGACCGGGCAACATTTTGTTCTGTTATATATAAGGTTGCCATGAGTCAGAGCTGACTTGATGGCAACTAATAATAACAAAATCTTTCCTTCTAGATCTATTGTTTTTATTATTATTATTTCATCTTTTAAAAAACCACTTTTGCTCCACTGCTAGTCAGGGTAATAAGAAGAAATAGGCAGAAATGTAAATTTGCTATTTGTTAGACACTTCAATTAAACATTTTTATGGTAGATCAGGTAAAACCCAATTCTTAGCACAGTAACCAGTACATAAACCAAAAACTAAACCCATTGTCATCAAGTTGTTTCCAACTCATAGTGACCCTATAGGACAGAGTAGAACTGCCCACATGGTGTCCAAGGTTGTAATCTTTGTAGAGCAGATGGTGGATTCCAACTAACAACCTTTTAATTAGCAGTCAAGTGCTTAAGCACTGCACCACGAGGGCTCATCCAGCATATGAACAAAGCCAGTGTTTGTTCATTCCTTTTGTTTTATCCTCCTTTTTTCTGAGTATGAAATACATCTAGTATTGATTTGAGACAGTGCTCACACTTTGCTTGCTTCCTGTGGGAGCATATAATTAAAAGACATTCTGGCCTTTTTGTAAGTAGATACAGTCAATTACCTTTTGTATATCATGGAAATTGATAGAGTGTAATTAAACAAAGGTAACAGGAGTATGTAAATGTCTTTTCTGCTAATTAAAGATTTTCAGGATCATAACATCCTGTTGTTGTTACATGCCTTCCAGTCCGATCCGACTCTTAGTGCTCCTTGGGTTTCCGAGGCAGTATCACTATGGAAGTAGATTGCCCCGTCTTTCTTCAGAGAAGTGGCTGGTGGGTTTGAACCGCCAGCCTTTTGGTTAGCAGTCAAGTGCCTTAGGCACTATGCTACCAGACCTCCTTCATAACATCCTGGAGAGAATTAAAAATAAAGATAATGAAAACTACTGTGTTTAGTATCATCTTATTACAACACAAGGAAGACAATAAAGAGAGTACTGGTAAAGGCTTTCCTTTTTAACTCTAATCTCCAAGATTATAGGCCAAGTTTTTGAGCATTTAACTTTTCTCTTGCTTAACCGGAAGGAAGGTTGGGCAATCTACCTCCGTAGTGATACTGCCTCGGAAACCCAACGAGGGGTCGCTATGAGTCGGTCCGATTCGATGGCACAAACAACAACTTGCTTAATCAGACATTGCATCTGTATAGTAGAAATGTCATGGAGATTTTTGATAGTGTTTTTATCATGGTACATATTCGTATAGGAATATGTGGTCTTTTATTTTGCAAATATAAAACACCAATAATTTTCTGTTTTGTAAAATTAATATATGTTGTGTTGAATGACTTATGAAAGTCAAAAGATTAGATAAAAATCTATGACAATATATATATTTTTAAAATTGAAAAAAACACACATAATGATTATTTATGGATTTAATGACTGTGTACATTCTTACTTCCATTCCACATTTAAATGTGGAATGTATTTCTGACAACATCTGGCTTAATATGTGGCCCTTATTACTGGGAAAAAATGAATGAAAATACTCACCAAATTATCTAGCTCTGAAAAAGAGGCTTCGTGCCTATAGTGAAGCAGCAGCATTTTTCACCAAAATTTTCATAAACCTTTAACAAATACATAGATTTAGCAGAGTAAGAAATTAAAATATAGAAAGCAAAAAAATAAATGAAGTGAATAATAAAGCTTCAGTTCTAACTAAGGAAGCAGATGTTATGTAAATTATTTTATCCTCAATATCTTGTGATATTTCTGGTACAATGTTGAGAAAACTTGACTGCTCTATGAGGAAATGTACAAAACATAGTATGCAGAGAGCTCTCAGTAGGTTGTAAGAAAACAAATATAGCACATAAAACAAGGAATATAAAGTTTTATCAGAAGATTAGTCTGAAAATAATTATAAAACTAGTATCAAGGAATGCAGCAAGGAAATACAGCATCTATAAAATTAAATTCATTATCTGATACTTTATAATTTATGTTAATAATCACTAATACTTACCCAAAGCCAGTTAGAAGCTGCAATATACATAAAATAACTTGAACTTATATTTAAACTATATTCCTAATGGTCTACAGTGGAAATGACTACAAATTTCTGGGAAATCTCAAGAAGCAACACACATTTATTTCTTGATAATAAAACAAAAATTCTTCATGTAGGTATAATGTTCACTACTAAAAAGGCTTAAAATAAAAGAATTCCTCCTTGTCAGAAAGCTTAGGATAGCAAGGTCACATTTAAGCACTGTTATAGACCTGCACAACCAATCAGCTTTGAGAAAAATGGTTTTGCCTTCACTAGAGTTTAATGTAAAAAACACATCCAATGTAAAATTTATAATGTGTTATTATAGAAGCTGTCAAATCAAGTCTCTTATTATGTTTAATAACAACAGTTCAGGAAAATGAGCTTACTGCAGTAAGATTTAGAAGATGCTTTGCCTGGTGAATTTGGAACTTTTGAAATGTAGAAACTTGTTTATACAAAGATATGTAGGGAATAAAGGTGAATATTAACTATATGCTATTGTCATAAATCTTTGGCCATCAGCAAGAGGCAAGTCAATATATATATTTTTAATTTAATATATTTAAACTAACTGAAATGACATATATAATGTTATTTAGAGATCGTCTGAAGACTAGATCTGATGCATTGAACACCAATGACCAAAAACCAGATGAATTGTAGGATGACATCAAGAACATCATACATGCAGAAAGCAAAAGGTCATTAAAAAGACAGGAAAGGAAGAAAAGACCAAAATGGGTGTCAGAAGAGACTCTGAAACTTGCCCTTGAATGGACAGTAGCTAAAGCAAATGGAAGAAATGACAAGATAAAAGAGCTGGGCAGAATATTTCAAAAAGCAGCTTGAGAAGACAGTCAATTATAATGAAATGTGCAAAGACCTGGAGTTAGAAAACCAAAAGAGAAGAACACACTAGGCATTTCCCAAACTGAAATAACTGAAGAAAAAAAATTAAGCCTTGAGTTACAATATTGAAAGATTTTATGGGTAAAATATTGAATGATGCAGGAAGCATCAAAGGAAGATGGAAGGAATACACAGAGTCACTGTACCAAAAAAATTGGTCGGTATTCAACTATTTCAGGAGATAGCATATGATCAAGAACCAATGGTACTGCAGGAAGATGTTGAAGCTGCACTGAAGGAATTGGGGAAAAACAAGGCTCTAGGAATTGGTGGAATATACTTTGAGGTGTTTCAAAAAACATGCCACACTGGAGGTACTTACTCATCTATGCCAAGAAACTTGGAAGACAGCTACCTGGCCAACTGACTGGAAGAGATCTGTTTTTGTACCCATTCCAAAGAAAGGTGATCCCACAAATGTGGAAATTATTGAACAATATCATTAATATCACACACAAGTAAAATCTTGCTGAAGATAATTCAAAAACAGTTGTAGCAGTGTATTGACAGAGAACTTCCAGAAATGCAAGCTGGATTCAGAAGAGGACATTGAATAAGGGATATCATTGCAGATGTCAGATGGATCTTGGCTGAAAGCAAAGAATACCAGGAAGATGTTTACTTGTGTTTTATTGACTACGCAAAAGCATTCAATTGTGTGGTTCATGACAAATGATAGATAACATTGAGAAAAATAGGAATTCCAGAATATTTAATTGTGCTCATGAGGAACCTGTACATAGACTGTTGTTCAAACAGAGCAAGGGGATACTTCATGGTCTAAAAGCAGGAAGAGAGTGCATCAGGGCTCTATCCTTTCACCATACTTACTCAATCTGTATGCTGAACAAATAATCTGAGAAGCTAGACTATATGAAGATGAACATGGCATTAGGATTGGAGGAAGACTCATTAACAAACTGTGACATGCAGAGGACACAACCTTACTTTTTGAAAGTGAAAATGACTTGAAGCACTTCTGATGAAGATTAAAGACTACAGTCTGCAGTATGGATTACACCTCGATAGAAAGAAAATGAAAATCCTCACAACTGGTCCAATAAGCAGTATCATGATAAATGAAGAAAAGATGGAAGTTGTCAAAGATTTAATAATACTGGTGCTACAGTCAACACCAATGATGGAAATCAGTCAAGAAATCAGATGACTTATTACATTGGGCAAATCTCCTGCAAAAGACCTATTTGAAGTGCTGAAGAGCAAAGATATCTCTTTGAAGTCCTAGCGACCCCTTCTTGGGTTTCTGAGGCAGTATTGCCCAATCTTCCTTCTGAGGAGTGGCTGGTGGGGTTTGAACTGCCAATCTTCTGGTTAGCAGTCAAATGCCTTAGGCACTGTGCCACCAGGGCTCCCAATGTGCCTAACCCAAGCCATAATATTTTCAATCACCTGACATGCATATGAAAGCTGGACAATGAATAAGAAGGACTGAAGAAGAGTTGATACTTTGAATTATGGTGTTGGGGAAGAGTACTGAAAGAACCACGGACTGCCAGAAGAACTAATAAATATGTCCTGGAAGAAACGTAGCCAGAATGCTCCTTGGAAGTGAGAATGGCCAGACTTCTTCTCCTCTACTTTGATCATGTTGTCAGAAGGGACCATTCACTGGAGAAGGATATGCTTGGTAAAGTGGAGGGTCAGTGAAAATGGGGAAGACCTTCAAGAAGATGGATTGAAACAGTAGCTGCGACAATAGTCTCAGGTATAGCAAGGATTGTGAGGCTGGCACAGGATAGGGCAGAGTTTTGTTCTGTTGTACATAGGTCTTTGTGAGTCAGAGCTGACTCAACGGCATCTAACAACAACACAACAATATCATAACCATGGGCAATTCAGTGATTTGATTTGATGTGTATTATTTAAGACTACCCAAACACAGAATGTGCCAACAGGATTGGATGAAGACTCATGAACAACTTATGACATGCACATGACAAAACAGCTTGCTGAAAGTGAAGAGAACTTGAAGCACTTACTGTGTTAGACTGGGTTCTGTAGAGAAACAAAACCAGTAAAGCTTATAAAGAGAGAGAAAGTGAAATTTATCTTAGGAAAATGGCTCACACACTTATGTTGTTGTTGTTGTGTGCTGTCAAGTCAGGCCTGACTCACAGCGACCCCTCCTTGGGTTTCCAAGGCAGTATCACTATGGAAGTAGATTACCCAACCTTCCTTCTGAGGAGTGGCTGGTGGGTTTGAACCACCAGCCTTCTGGTTAGCAGTCAAGTGCTTTAGGCACTATGCTACCAGAGCTCCTCACACACTTATAGAAGCTGGCAAGTCTAAAGTTCTTGGATCAAACGTCAAGCTGGAGGCTTTTCCTGACTCATGCAGCTGCAGGGGCTGAGGAGCTCAAGGTTCGCTCTTGACTTCAATGAATGATGAATCCAAGATCTTCAGACTGAATAGTGGATTGTTCACTCATGGACAGTTGTAGGCAGCACAACAGAATCCTGATCCACAGAAGAGTGTCTCTTTTCCCAGGATGTCCATAAATATACTGGAAGCAGGCCACCCCCCTAGGGAAACTCCCTTTCACTGGATTGGCTGCTCAAAACATACACATCTGATCCCATCATTGGAACAACCCACATCACAATTGCTTAAATCACACAGAATTGTGGTCCAGCCAAGTTGACACACAGCTCCAACTATCACACTTACTAATGAAGATCAAAGGCTACAGCCTTCAGCATGGATTACACCTCAAAATAAAGAAAGCAAAATTCCTGACAACTGAACAAATAAGCAACATCATGACAAGTGGAGAAAAGATGTAAGTTGTCAAGGATTTCAATGTACTTGGATCCACAATCAGTGACCATGGAAACAGCAGCCAAGAAATCAAATGGTGTACTGCATTGCTGCAAAAGTCTTCTTTCAAGTGTTAAATGGCAAAGATGTCACCTTGAAGACTAAGGTGTGCCTAACCCAAGCCATGGTATTTTCATTTCTGTCATATGCATGAGAAAGCTGGACAATGAATAAGGAAGACTGCAGAAGAATTGATGCATTTGAATTGTGGTGGTGGTGAAGAATACTGAATATACCATGGACTACCAGAAAAATGAACAAATATGTCTTGGTAAAGTAAAGGGTCAGGGAAAAAGAAGGCTTAATGAGATGGATTGACACAGTAGCTGCAACAATGGGTACAAACATAGCAGCGATTTGTGAGGGTGGTGCAGGGCTGGGCAGTGTTTTGTTCTGTTGTGTATGGACTCACTACGAGGAGGAACTGACTTGATGGCATGTAACAACAACAAGAACTCAAACATGGTTCTTCACTTTTTTTTTTTTAAGTCAAATGTTCAGACATTGGAGATTCAGAGTTTTACAAGAACTAGAAAAAAATGGCAAATAAGCTCTCAGCTATTCATGATAGTATCACCTTTTGGAAATATAAGTTGAGAAACCCACTGAAGAGCTCATGTGGTTTTATTCTGGAATCTGACAGTCCATAGTAAAGATTTTCACTTCTAAAAGAGTGGGAAAATCATACTTTCATTGGCAAGAGTGAGCTTTGCTATCTTGTTGAACTTGGATTTGCTTGTTCTCTTCTGGCTCCACAAGAAGAAGAAAAAACATTTGTAGTGGTAATATGTGCTCATTTTAA